ACAAGAATCAGCAATCACTAGTCATTGATATCTCTTATTATCAATCATATCAAGATCCTAGTAAAGACATTGACTAACAAAATAAATGCAAAAAAAAAAAAACAGAATCCATCCTTGTGTTGAATCCAAGAAACATACCTCAATATCAAGCACAGACATTACCTCAGGGTAAAGGGATGAAAAAAGATATTCCAAGTGAATGGACCTCAGAAGTAAACTGGTGTAGCCATTTTAATGTATATAACAAAATAGATTTCAAATCTAAACTAATCAAAATATATAGGGAAGGATATTTCATACTCATCAGAGGAAAGATCTATCAAGACATTTCAATTCTTAAAATCTATCTCTCAAACACAAGAGTACCAAAGTTTGTAAACGAAATATTTCTATAGCTTAAATCACACATTGATTCTCTCACCCTGATAGTGGGAGGCTTCAATAGCCCACTTTTACCAATAAACATGTCACCCAGGCAAAAACTAAACAGAGAAATATTGGAGCTAACAAAAAATTATAAGCCAAATTGACCTAACATATATTTACAGAACATTTCACCTCATGAAATGTTCTCTCAAATTGACCACATACTTGGACAGAAACTAAGACTCAAGAGATTAAAAAAAAAAAATTTTTTTTAAACTCCTCAAATCCTATCAGATCACCACAGATTAAATCTGGATGTCACCAAGAAAACAACAGAAAGCTTGAAAACTAATGAAAACTGAACAACTCTCTATTCAATGAAAAATGGGTCAAGACAGAAATAAAGAAATGAATTCCTAGAATTCACTGAAAAAAAATATTAGGCATACCCAAACTTACAGGGAACAATAAAGGCGCTTCTAAGAGACAAGTTCACAGCACTAAGTTCCTACATAAAAATATTGGAGAGATCTCATACTACCAATTTAACAGCACACATGTAAGCTCTAGAACAAAATGAAAGAAATATATAGGAAAAGCAGACATCAAGAAATAATCAAACTGAGGCCTGAAGTCAACAAAATAGAAAGAGAGCAACACAAAGAATCAATGAAACCCAGAGTTGGTTCTTTTAGAAAATCAGCAAAATGGGGGCTGAAGAAATGGATCAGAGGTTAAGAGGACTGTTTGCTTTTCCAGAGGTCCTGACTTCAATTCTGCACAACCACATTGAGCTCACAATGATCTATAGTGGGATCTGATGCCCTCTTCTGGCTTAAAGTTTCACATGCAGATAGGGCACTCATATACATATAAATAAGTAAATAAATGTTTCAAAAAAGATCAACAGGATTAAGAGAGAGAGAGAGAGAGAGAAAGAGAAAGAGAGAGAGAGAGTGGGGCATTGGTGTCCCACGCCTTTAATCCCAGAACTTGGGAGGCAGAGGCAGGCAGATCTCTGTGAGTTCAAGGCCAGCCTGGTGCACAGAGCTAGTTCCAGTACAGGCTCCAATGCAATACAGAAAAACCCTGTCTCAAAAAAAAAAAAAAAAAAACCGAACAAGACAGACAAACCCTTACCTAAACTAACAACTGAAAGATGGAGATGGAATACTCAAATTACCAAAAACCAGAATGAAAAGGGGACATAACAATAGACATCAAGGAAATCCAGAGACTCATAAGGACATACTTTAAAACCCTGTACTTCACCAAACTGGAAAATCTAAAAGTCACAGACAATTTTCTCAATAGATACTTCACCAAAGTTAAACCAGGATCAGATAAACAATATATATACATCTATAATCCTTGGTGAAATATGAGTCATTAAAAATCACCTAACCCCTCCCCCGCAAAAAAAAAATCCATACCAACTGGCTTTAGTGCAGAATTCTACCAGACTTTCAAAGAGTTAATGCCCACACTACTCAAATTATTCCACAAAAGAGAAACAGAAGAAATGCTGTCCAATTCATTTTATTAGACCACAGGTTCCTTGATATGGTTTATGACAAACCACATAAAGAAGTAACAAAAAAGGAATTATAGATCAATTTTACTAATGCATTAGTATAAAAATACTCAATAAAATACTTGCAAACTGAATCCAAGAACACATCAAAAAGATTATCCACCATGAACAAATAGGCTTCATCCCAGAGATGCACAGATGATTTAACACACAAGATAAATGTATTCCATCAGATAAAGATAATGAAAGGGGGAAAAGATGATCATCTCATTAAAAGTAGAAAATTCCATTTGGCAAAAGCCAACACCCCTTCATGGCAAAATTCAGGAGAGATTAGGTGTACATGGAGCATACCTAAGCATAACAAAGGCAGTTTACAACAATCCTACAACCAACATCAAATTAAATGAAAAGAAACTCAAAGCAATTTCACTATAATCAGGAACAAGACAAGGTTGTCCACTCTCTCCATACCTATTCAATATAGTACTTAAAGATTTAGCTAGATCAATAAGACAACTGAAGGAGAAAAAGGAGATACAAATATAAAGAAAAAAGTCAAAGTATCTTTTTTTGTAGATGATATCATAGTATACATAAGTGACCATAAAATTCAACTGGAGAACTCCCACAACTGATAAACACTTTCAAAAAAACAGTTGGAAACTAGATTAACTAAAAATAATCAGTGCATTTCCTATACAGTAATGTTTAATGGACTGAGAAAGAAATCAGGGAAACACCACTTTCATAATAGTCTCAAATAATATAAAATATATTGAGGTAACTCTAACCAAGCAAGTGAAAAACGTGTATGATAAAAACTTCCAGTCTTTAAAGAAAGAAATTGAAGAAGATATTAGAAGATGGAACACTCTCCTATGCTCATGGATCAGTAGTATTAACATAGTAAAAATAGCCATTCTTTCGAAAGCGACCTATAAATTCAATGCAATCTCCATCAAAATTTCAAAACAATTCTCCACAGACCTTGGAAGGGCAAACTTCATATGGAAAAATAAAGTACTCAGAATGGCTAAAACAATTCTGACCAATAAAAGAATTACTGGGGGTGGGTCTCAATATACCTGATTTCATGTTGTACTACAAAGGTAGTAAAAACAGCATGATGTTGACATAAAAACAGAGAAGTTGATCAATGGGATCAAACTGAAGACCGCAACACAAATCTACATACCTCTAGACACCTGATTCTGGATAAAGAAGCCAGAAATACACGTTGGAAAAAAAAAAAAAAACAATATCTTCAACAAATGCTCTGGTCAAGCTGGTATTGGTGTGTAGAAAAATGGAAACAGTTCATACCACCGTGCACAAAACTCTTAGTCCAAGTGGATCAAACATCTCAACAGAAAACAAGATACACTGAACCTGACAGAAGAGAAGGTGGGGAATAGCCTTTAACACATCAGCACAGGAGATAACTTCCTAAACAGGACGGCTGTATAGCATAGGCACTAAGATCAATGATTAATAAATGGGACCCCATGAAACTTAGAAACTTCTGTATGGTAAAGTACACCATGGTTCAGAGAAAACAGCAATCTACAGAATAGATATCCAAAATAGATAATGAACTCAAGAAACTAGGTATCAAAAGATAAGCATAAAACTGCCAACAGAAGAAACTCAAGTAGCTGATAAATCTTAACTGTTCAAAATCCTTAGCCATGAGGGCAATGCAAATCAAAAGAACTGTGAGACTCCATCTTACACCTGTCAGAATGGCTAAGATTAGTAACACCAAGTAATAGCTCACATCGGCAAAGATGTGGATTAAGGAGAACACTCATCCATTGATGGAGGTACTGTAAACTTGAACAGCCACTATAGAAATCAATAGGGCATTTCCTCAGAAAGTTGGGACTTGATCTACCTCAAGATCTACATATACCATTCTTGGGCATAAACCCAAAGGATGCTTCATCATACTACAAGGATACTTGCTCAGCCATATTCATTGTTGCTCTAGTGATAATATCCAGAAACTGGAAACAGCTTAGTTGTCCTTCAACAGAAGAATGAATAATGAAAATGTAGTACTGATTACACAATGGAGTATCATTCAGGTGTTTTTTTTTTTTTTTTTGTTTTGTTTTGTTTTGTTTTTTTCTTGACATCATGAAATTTGAAAACAAATGAATAGAACTAGGAAAAAGATCATCCCAAGTAAGGTAACCCAGAAACAGAAAGATAAATATGGTATGTATTCATTTATATGTGGTTATTAGCAGTTAAGCAAATGATAACCAAGCTAAAATCCATAGACCCAGAGAGGTTAAGTAAGGAGAAAGTCTAGGGGGACATATAATGGAGGAAAATATAATAGATTTTACAGGTGGACTGGGGCAGGTGGGGAAAGGAACGAGGGGGTCAGGTGGGGAAGGGGAGCATAGATAGGGCTGAGGGAGAATATTCTGGAAGAGACAGCAGGAAAAGAAGGGACACACACACACACACACACACACACACACACACACACACACACACACACCAGACCCAAACAAACAAAAAACAGGAATACAAAAGGGAAATCCCAAAAACCATACTGATTCAAGTGTTAAGGAGTAGACACACTGATCTGTGAGGAGAAAAAAAAAAAAAAAAAAATTACAACACCAGGAGGCTTGGAGGAACAATTCTGAGGTCGACCAGATGAGGGTCGGGAGGGAAGGAGACAGAAATCAAATCCGTGATGATAACGGATAAAGCCTAAATCAAAGCAAACAGAAGCACAAGAACACCCTGCTCCCTACACAGCACCATCTGGACTCAGTATCCCCCAACCCGACCGCACTGCAAAGTCTATGGAGTGTAAGTCACGCCAAGGACTCGCCTGAGGGTGCTGGGGATTGCAGGGAAGCAGCTGCATCAAGGACAGAAAAGTGGTGGACTCAGGGCTCAAGGCCTCCTGCGGGGTGCACACTTCAAGCACAAGTGGGGATTGGCATTGCTGGGCCAGATTCCACCACCTTCCACTGGACTGCAGGGCTCCAGGGGAAACTCTAAGCGCTGGCTACGCAAACCCACCTGTCCCAAACCCGCCACCTAAGATTCCAGTCGTCCAAGGCACACTCACCATTCCGTGCTTCTGACGTGTCTTGGTATCCTCCCAAAGAGCAACGGAGTTAGCTGAACCCAAAACAGATCCCCACAAAGCTTAAGAAAGGCTTCCGGGACTCACGCCGCGACTGTCCGTGCTCCTGATTGGACAGTTCATTCCTTTTTAGTAATATGATCCCTGATTGGTGAGCTGTACTCACTCAGCGAAAAGGAGCTAAAATTTTTAGGGAAATTCAGGTCAAAGTCCTGACTCCCCGGACTCTAGAAGAAGGCGAACTTATGTGAATTAAAATACATGTAGGACTACATGATAAGGCCCTGACCCAAAACGAAACAAAGAAGCCGGCATGATGGCCGGCATTGGTCCAGAAAACTAGGTCCAAGACGGACAACAGTACCAAAAAGAGAACCTGTCTCGAAAAAAACAAACAAACAAAAAAAAAGACAAGGTAGCAAAATAAAGAACAACAAGTTTAAAAACAAAAACTCCAATGTATTCTCCTACCCTCTGGAATGGCCCTGTTTCTGATTTAGCATTTCACTCCATTGTAAGGTAACATGCTCTGGGAACTGGGATGTACTCGCACACTCTGTATTCGCCACCTGTTCTGTTCTGTACATTACCGTCTCCCCCCCCCCCCCCCGCCAAAAGGGGGGGGGTGCAGGGTAGAAATACGCCCCAAGTAGGTTTAAGCACAGGAAACACATGTAGTGCTTTATAGAAAACCTCAACCTCCAAGGAACTTCCTGGGTCTGCTCTGAACACACTGGGCCTGCCTATCCATGCCTCACTCTCCAGTATCTTATCAGACCACCATGCTTTAAAGTTGGAATTCAACTACAACACGAATTGCAGAAACCCTACAAACTCATGAAAACTGAACAAAGCACAATTGCACCATTCCTGGGTCAAGGAAGAAATAGAAAGAAATGAAAGATTTCCTAGAATTCAACAAGAATAAAGACACAATATACCCGAAATTATGGGACACTCTGAAAGCAGTGCTACGAGGGAAGTTCATTGCACTAAGTGCCCATATGAAGAAAATGGAGGATAGTCACATTAGAGAATTAACAGCCCAACTGAAAGCCTTAGAACAAAAAGAAGCAAACTCACCCCAGAGGAGTAGGCAACAGGAAATAATAAATTTGAGGGCTGAAATCAATAAAGTAGAAACTAGGAAAACAATACAAAGAATCAATGTAACAAAGAGTTGGTTTTTCGACAAAATCAACAAGACAGACAAATCTTTATCCAAATTAACCAAAAAGCAGAGAGAGAATATGCAAATCAACAAAATCAAAAATGAAAAGGGGAACATAACAGAAACTAAGGAAATCCAGACAATTTTCAGGTCATACTTTGAAAACTTGTACTCCACAAAATTTGAAAATTCAAAGGAAATGGAAAATTTTCTGGATAACTATCACTTACCAAAATTAAATCAAGAACAGACAAAAAATTAAATAGACCTATAACTGCTAATGAAATAGAAGCAGTCACCAAGAGCCTCCCAACCAAAAAAAAAAAAGCCATCTTCAGTGCAGAATTCTACAAGAAATTCAAAAAAGTGCTAATACCAATACTCCTCACATTGTTCCACTCAATAGAAGCAGAAGGTTCATTATCAAACTCTTCTTATGAGGCAACAATTACCTTGGTACCCAAGCCACCCAAAGATATAACTAAGAAAGAGTACTACAGACCAATACCCCTCATGAACATCGATGCAAAAATACTCAGCAAAGTACTGGAAAATGGAATCCAACAGCACATCAGAAAAATCATCCACCATGATCAAGTAGGCTTCATCCCAGGGATGCAGAGATGGTTCAGCATATGAAAATCTATCAATGTGATCCACCATATAAACAAACTGAAAAAGAAAAACCACATGATTGTCTCACTAGATGCTGAAAAAGCCTTTGACAAAATGCAACACCCTTTCACAATAAAGATCTTGGAGGGATCAGGGGCAACAGGAACATACCTAAACATAATAAAAGCAATATACAGTAAACCAACAGCCAACATCAAACTGAATGGAGAGAAACTTAAGGCGATTCCTCTAAAATCAGGAACAAGACAAGGCTTCCCATTCTCTCCATGTTTCTTCAATATTATACTTGAAGTTCTAGCTAAATCAATAAGACAACAAAAAAGAGATCAAGGAGATACAAATTGGAAAGGAAGAAGTCAAACTGTCACTATTTGCAGATGATATGCTAGTTTACATAAGCGACCCGAAAACCTCCACCAGGGAACTCCTACAGCTGATAAACACCTTCAGCAAACTAGCAGGATAAAAGATAAACAAAACAATCAATAGCCCTACTATATATAGACAGTGAAAGGGACGAGAAAGAAATCAGAGAAACAGCAACATAAAGTAGCTTACCAAACAAGTGAAAGATCTATATAGCAAGAACTTAGTGTCTTTAAAGAAAGAAATCTTGTCAAAAGCAATCTACAGATTCAATGCAATCCCCATCAAAATCTCAGCACAATTCTTCACTGGCCTTGAAAGGAAAATACTCAACTTTATATGGAAAAATGAAAGATCCAGGATAGCCAAAACAACCTGTACAATAAAGGAACTTCATTACCATCTCTGACTTCAAGCTCTACTATGGAGCCATAGCCCTGAAAACAGCTTGGTATTGGCACACAAATACACAGGTTGACCAATGGAATCTAATTGAAAATCTTGATATTAACCTACACACCTATGAATACCTGATTTTTGACAAAACAGCTAAAAGTATACAATGGAAGGAGGAAAGCATCTTCAACAAATGGTGCTGGCACAATTGGATGAGGGTGTGTAGAAGACTGCAGATAGACATATGTCTATCGCCATGCACAAGTTCAAATAGATCAAAGACCTCAACATAAATACAGCCACACTGAACCTGTTAGAATAGAAAGTGGTAGGTACCCTTGAACAAATTGGTACAGGAGACAGTTCCTGAACATAACACCAGTAGCATAGACACTAAGATTGACAACTAATAAATGGGACTTCCTCAAACTGAGAAGCTTCTGTAAGGCAAAGGACACAGTATACAAGACCAAACAGCAGTCCAAAGACTGGGAAAAGATCTCCACCAACCCCACATCTGACAGAGGACTGATCTCCAAAATATACAAAGAATTCAAGAAACTAGTCAACAAAACACCAAATAACCCTAATAAAAAGTGGGTGTAGAACTGGAGAGAGAATTCTCAATAGAGCAACCCAAAATGGTGGAAAGACACTGAAGAATGTGTTCAACATCCTTAGCGGTCAGAGAAATGCACATCACAAGTATGAGACACCATCTTACTCCTGTCAGAATTCCTAAAATTAGACACACCAATGACAGATTATGCTGGAGAGGATGTGGAGAAAGGGAAACACTTCTCTACTGCTGGGGTGGGGGGAGAACAAACTTGTACAGTCATTTTGGAGATCAGAATGGCAGTTCCTCAGGAAAATGGGAATTAGTTTACCACAGGACCCGACAATCCCCCTCTTAGGCATATACACAAATGATCCACATCCATGCAACCAACACATGTGCTCAAGTATGTTCATAGCAGCACTATTTGTAATAGCAAGAACCTGGAAGCAACCTAGATGCCCCTCAACTGTAGAATGGATAAAGATGTGACACATCTACACAATGGAATACTACCCTGCAGAAAAAAAATAATGGAATCTTGAAATTTGCAGGCAAGTGGATGGAACTTGAAAAAACCATCCTGAATGAGATAACCCAGTCACATATATGTACTCACTCATATATGGATTTTAGACCCAGAGCAAAGGACCACCAGCCTATAATTCACACCACCAGAAGAACTAGGATACAAGGTGTATTCTAAGAGATTCATAAAAGGTCCCTCACAAAAGGGGGAAGGGACAAGTTCCCCAGAGTACATGAGAAGTAGGGGGTGCAGTGAATGGAGAGAGAAGTAGGAGAAAGAGAAGGGGAGAAGAGGAAAGCACGTGCGACTAGGAAGATTGAGTCAGGGTAGGAATAGAAGATGAGAGAGAGAGAGAGAGAACATAAAAGAGGGAGCCATTATTGGTTTGAAGAGAAAACTGAACCTAAAGAAAGGTCTATAGATCTACAAGACTGACTCCAACTCTAACAATTTGAGCAACCATGGAACGGCTACTACTATAATGCCCTTCCCTGATAGTGAGATCAACAACTAACTTATCCATCATCATGGAGCCCTCATCTAGTATCAGTTGGAAACAGAAACAAACACCCATAACTAAACACTGAGTCAAACTAGAATCCAGATGCAGAGAGAGAGGACAAGACCAGGCTGCAGAAAGACATAAAGGCAGCTGATCTGAACAAGAAAAGAAAAAGCCTGTCCTAAAATCCAACACCTCTCCATGATAAAGGTCTTGGAGAGATCATGGATACATGAAGCTACCTAAATATAATGAAAGTAATATATAGCAAGCCAAGAGCAAACATCAACTTAAATGGAGAGAAGCCCAAAGTGATTCCACTAAAATCAGGAACAAGGCAAGGCTGCTCACTTTCTCCACACATACTCAGTACTGGAAGTACTAGCTAGAGCAATAAGAGAACAAAAGGAAATCAAAGTAAGAAGTCAAAACTTCACTATTTGCTGATGAAGTGATAGTGTATGTAAGTGACTCCAAAGATTTTACCAGGGATTTCCTACAGCTTAAAAACATCTTAAGAGATGTTGCTGGATACAAGATTAATTAAAGAAAGAAATCAGTGCCCCTCCTAGATACTAATGATATACGGGCTGAGAAAGAAATCAGAGAAACACCACCCTTCACAATACCCTCAAATAATATGAAATATTTGGGGGTAACTATGTAAACAAGTGAAAGACCTGTATGACAATAACTTCAAGTTTTTGAAGGAAGAAATTGAAGAAGATACCAGAAAATGGAAAGATCTCCCATGCTCTTAGATGAGTTTGTGGCTATTGTTAAGGGTAATGTTTCTCTGATTTCTTTCTAAGCCCATCAATCATTAACATATAGGAGGGCTATCTTTTAATGTATCCTGCCACTTCGCTGAAGGTGTTTATC